GATTTTTTAAAAAAATTCCACATATAAGTGTTATCGTACCTTCTTGTCTTTCTCTGTCTGACTTATCTCACTTACTATAATGTACTCAAGGGCCATCCTGTTGTCCCAGATGACAAGATATTCTTCTTTCTCATGGTTGATTAATTATATTATATATATATATATATATATATATATATATATATATATATATATATATATCTCACATTATTTTTATCAATTTCTTCATTGATTAGCATTTGTGTTGTTTCCATATTTTGGTTATTGTGAATAGTGCTATGATAAACATGGAAGTACCTATATTTCATCAAACTTCTGATTTCATTCCCTTTGTTTACATTCACAGGAGTGGAATGGCTAGATTGAATAGTAGATCTATTTGTAATTTTTTGAGGAGCTTCCATAATGGTATGCAGTGTAGCTGTACCAATTTACATTCCCACCAACAGTATACAGAGCTCTTGTTTCTCTGTGCCGTCTCAACACTTATCTCTTGACTCTGGGGATTTTTTCTTTCTTTTTATTGAATTTATTGAGGTGACATTGGCTAAGAAGATTACATAGGTTTCAAGTATATATTTTTATGATACAGGATCTTCTTATTGCACTGTGTGCCCACCAGCCCAAGTCAGATAATCTTCTATAACCATATATTTGACCTTCTTTACCCTTTACTCCCCTTCACTTTGGTAACCATCATACTGTTGTCTATGTCTATGATGTTTTGTGTGTGTGTGTGTGTGTGTGTTTAGTTTGTTTGTTTTTAAAAAATGTTGAAAGTAGTTACGAATGTCCCCTTTCCTTCCCCATTTAATACTTCTAGCCCACCCTTTTCACCCCCTATTGTCTGTGTCCATGGGTTATGCATATAAGCATACAAGTTCACTGATTGATCTCTTCCCACCCATTCACCCTCTCCTGCCTTCCCTCTGAGATTCCAGTCTGTTCCATGCATCTATGTCTCTGGATCTATTTTGTTCATTAGATTCCACATGTTAGTGAAATCATATGATGTGTCTATAAGGTTTTTTTCTTGTATATTCATTTGCTACTTTCAGTTTTCTATCCCATATATAAGTGAAGTCATTTGGTTCTTAACTTTTCTGATTTATTTCACTTAGCATGATGTTCTAAAGGTCCACCCATGTTGTTGCAAATGGCTAAGTAATATTTCATTGTATATATGTACCACATCTTCTTTATACAATTATCTATTAAAAGATTATTTGTTTCCATGTCTTGGTCACCACGAATAATGCTGCAATGAACATAGGAATATATATATATATATATATATATATATATATATATATATATATGTATATGTATATATATATGTATTAGAATAAATATTTTCTATTTTGGGGGGAATATGCTTATAATAAGGATTTGGGGGTCACATGGTAGCTCTATTCTTAATTTTTTAGGAACCTCCATACCGTTTCCATAGTGGCTGTACCAAGTTACATTCCCACCAGCAGCGAATGAGGTTCCCTTTTCTCCACAATGTCTCCAACACTTGTTGTTACTTGTATTGTTGATAATAGTCATTCTAACATGTGTGAGGGAGTTATATAATTGTAGTTTTGATTTGTTTTTCTCTAATAATTAGTGAAGCTAAGCATCATTTCATATATCTATTCACCATTTGTATGTCTTCCTTTTAAAAAACTTTATTGTTGAAAGTTACATAGGTCCTCCTTTTCCCCCCATTAACCTCTTCTAGCTCACTCCCGTTCCCTACCCCACCAGGCCCTCACCAACCCATCATGTGTGTCCACAGGTTATGCATATGCATATTTGCATCCAAGTTCTTTGGTTGATCTCTTCCAATCCACCCTCCCCTGCCTTCCCTCTGAGGTTCAACAGTCTGTTCATGCTTCTGTGTCTCTGGGGCTAGTTTTGATCCTCAGTATATTTGGTTCATTAGATTCTACATATGAGTGATATCATGTGATACTTATCTTTCTCTGACTGGCTTATTATGCTTAGCATAATACTTTCCAGGTCCATCCATGCTGTTGCAAATGGTAAAAGGTCTTTTTTTTTTTTTTTACAGCTGCATAGTATTTCATTGTGTGAATGAAGTATTTAACAGTTTGTTTGTTTTTTATCCACTCATATGTTGATAGTCACTTAGAATGTACAATTTGTCTTTTTTAATCTACTATGCCTCTACTTAATATTTGAACATATGGAATGGAATTATAAATGTTTTAGTGTCCTTATCTTCTGATTCTAATGTGTTAAGCATGGGTCAATTTTATTTATTATTTAAAGATTTGTTGTTTTTTAATGTTTTTATTTATTTTTAGAGAGAGAAAGGAAGGGAGATGGATAGATAGAGAAACATCATCCATTGGCTGCCTCCTGCACGCCTCTTACTGAGGATCAGCCTGCAACCCAGAAATGCGCCCCTGGAAGGGAATTAAACCAGTGACCTCTTGATTCCTTGGTTGATGCTCTATCCTTGAGCCACACTGGCTGGGCTGCAAATTTTTTTTTAACCCTCACCTGAGGATATGCTTATTGATTTTAATGAGAGGGGAAGAGAGAGAGAGAGAGATACAGAGAGAGACAGGCAGTTGAGAGAGAAGTATCCATTGGTTGCCCACCACATGCTCACTGAACAGAAATATAACTTACAATCCAGGTATGTGCCCTGGCTGGGAATCAAACCTGCTACTTTTGGTATATAGGATGGTGTTCCAACCACCTGAGACACACTGGCCGGGCCTTGTGGGTCAATTTTGATTGACTTTTTCTTTTAAGAATATATTTTTATTGATTTCAGAGAGGAAAGGAGAAGGAAAGAGAGAAACATCAATGATGAGAGAGAATCATTGATCAGCTGCCTCATGCAGGCCCCCACTGGAGATCAAGGCTGCAACCTGGGCATGTGCTCTGACCAGGAATCCAACCGGGACCTCCTGGTTCATAGCTCAATGCTAAACCACTGAGCCATGCCTACTGGGCTTGATTGACTTTTTTCTCCTTATTATTAATTTTCTTTTTCTTTTTCTCTTCTATGAATGATAATCTATAATATATAAACGCTAATGTGCAAAGTGTGTCCCCTCAGGAGTTTGACCAGGAGACTGGGAGTTTGATTGTTGTCTATGATGTGTGGCATGGAACAAAGGGAGGCCCAGGCCAGCAGCCAGCAGCCAGGGAAGGAAGGCCCCGGCCAGCAGCTGGAAGGCCCCGATTGGCCCTGATCACCAGCCAGGCCTAGGGACCCTACCTGGGCCTCTAGTTTTTTATAAGAAGTCAGGCATAGTGAATTTTACCCCAGTGGGTATTAGACACGTTTTTATTTATATAAATATTCTTGAGATTCATTCTGGGCCACAGTTAAGTTAGGGGAAACAATGTGATGCTTTTAAATCTTCCTTCTAATACATTTTTTTTTTTTTAAGTCTAGGGCTCCTCACTACTCAGAGAGGTTATCTGTAAGCACTATAACAAATACTCTATGAATTATGAGATTTTCCAGTCTGGCTGATGGGAATAGGAGATATACTGCAATTTGCATGAGTTCTGATTTCTCTATAATCTTTTCAGATAGTTCTTAACATTGCCTTTGGTAGTTTCTCCAAAAAAAATATATATTGGTTTATCAGTAGTCTGCTGAATAGTTGAGAGAGACCCTCTACAAATCTCTGTAGTTCTTTATCTGATCTTCTCACCTCTCTGGTTGTGTGTCCTGCTAACTCCCTCTCTTCCTTGGTCTCTCCTAACTCTGAGGGAAACTGTCAGGCTCTGCCTGGGTTTCTCTTACCTGACAGCTGCTTGAAAACTCTCTCTTCAAAGTGGTAAGCTAGGGCAATCATAGAGCATACTTGATTTGTTTCCTGTATTTTAAGGATCACTCTTCCTCATTCCTAATCTTTGACCTCTTGAAAGCTATTGTGTCCTATATTTATGGTGTGGGATTGTTTTTGTGAGGATGAGTGAGAGGATTGTTTCAAACTGGTTGGTGAATCTAGTCCCTGATAATCCATCTTGGCCAGAATAATAAGTCCTTGTACCATTGCAACATTTATCATTTTATGATTATCACTTAGGTCTGTTTTTTATATTTTTTATACTATTTGACATTTATTTATGCCCATCTGTCCTTTTACCAATTGATTTATGTTGATTGTTCTACTCCCTTATATTATTAAACCATTTAAATTATTCTTCAAATTATTATGTTACTCCTTAAAATTTTTAGTTTCACTGCTTCTGCTATTGATGAAAAGTTTACAAAATAATAATTTTGTTTCTGTTTTAGAAGATGCTATTTAAGGAGAGCTTACTTCTCCTTTCTCTAAAATATGCTTGGCAGACAGTTTACTTAAAATTATCAGATAATTTCATATATTTAAAATTGTTTTTCACTATAAGGTTATATTATTTTTATAACATTTTTATGATCAAAGATAATATAAGCATATTCACAATTAGTTACTCTGATGAAAAACTTGATACTATGACCACTATTATGCTAGCAGTCAGTTTCTACACTTTGATTTATGTTTTAGTTTCTTTACTATTTTATTCAGTAAACCATTAGTTATTGGGTATTTTAACAATGGAATCCTCCCTTCTATGCTGTATTTATATACACATACCCTTATACTTTGGGATCCAACTTAAAAGCAAAGATCAATAGTTCCTTCCTACTCTTAACCATTTAGCACATTCCAGGATAACTCCTGCTACTTTACATTTTTATTTTCCATCTCTAAGCACATTTCAGTCCCACAGATTTGGTACTCTCTGATTTAAAAATATTAAGTAAATATATACTGTATATTGAAAAATGTATCTCAAAATGCTCTTTTGACAATCAACTGTTCAGAGTACAGGTTTGTTTACCCCAGGGGTAGGTTAGATCAAACTGATTGAAAATATAATGATGCTGACATATTTTGAGAAAATGTGAAATTGTATGTATTTATTAAAAAATTACTGATATATAGTTTCATAATTAATTTTTTAATTTAATTTAGGATTTGCTTTCCCATATGCTACATATGGACCCACATCAGCGGTACACTACAGAACAAATATTAAAACACTCATGGATAACCCACAGAGACCAGTTGCCAAATGATCAGCCAAATAGAAATGATACAGCATATGTCATTAAGGTAAAACATATTTTTATATACCTTTTAAATGCTTGATACTTTATAAAGCCATTGCATGTCATTCACTCATGACCACTTATGTAATTACTTAAAAGTGTCTTTGTTTTTAAAAGATTATTTTTAGCCCTAACTGGTTTGGCTCAGTGGATAGAGTGTTGGCCTGTGGACTGAAAGGTCCCAGGTTCGATTCTGGTCAAGGGCATATACCTTGGTCGCAGGCACATCCCCAGTAGGAGGTGTGCAGGAGGCAGCTGATTGATGTCTCTCTCATCGATGTTTCTAACTCTCTTTCCCTCTCCCTTCCTCTCTGTAAAAAAAATCAATAAAATATATTTTAAAAAAATATTATTTATAGATTTGCTTTATTCCATTTATTTCTAAATAACAGCCATTTTCTCTCTCTCTCTCTCTCTCTCTCTCTCTCTCTCTCTCTCTCTCTCTCTCTCTCTCTTTACCATATAGTCTTTCTGATGATAAATACAAGTTTCTTGATTATATTTGCTTAGCTCTTAGAAAACACACGGGCTAGGACTAGATTAAATGCAAATTTCATATGGAAACAAAATATTGTTATTGATTTCTAAATTAATAACCATCAGTGCATGTTCCTATATTTAAAGACATTGAGCCTAGATTTTAAATTTTAGTAATTTATGCATTCATCTCTTTTTGGACACAGATTGTTTCTATGTCTTGACTACTGAGAATAATGCTACAGGGAACAAGGGAGGACAGATAACTCTTTGATGATAAAGATGTTGTGATAGACACACATACAATGAAATATTATTCAGCTTTCACAAAGGAAATCCTGCCATTTGCAACAATATGTATAGTGTTCCTGGAAGACATGATATTAAGTGAAATAAGCCAGACCCAAAAATGCAAAAGCTACATGACCTCTTGTATATGTGGAATCTAAAAAAGTCAAATATGTAGCAGCATAAAGTATAATGGTGGTTTCTAGGGTGGAGGGAAAAATGGGAAGAAGTTGGTCAAAGTATATAACATTGAAGTTATGCAGGATGAATAACTCCAGAGATCTAATGTACAGCATAATAGTACCATATTGAATACTGAAATTTGCTAAGAGATTTCAGGTACTCTCATCACAAGCACACACACACCAAAAATGATAACTATATGAGGATATGCTGATTAGCCTTACTATAGTAATCTTATACTATGTATTTAAGAACATTGTGTTTATATACATAATATGTACAATTCCTATTAAAAATAAAATTAATTTTAGTTTATCTTTGTTGTTGAAAGTATTACATATGTCCCCTTACCCCCTCTTTTTATCCCTTCCTCCCTGCTCCAGTCCCCTCCCCAGGCTTTCACCACATTATTGTCTATGTCCATGGACTATGCATATATGTACATAAGTTTTTTGGTTAATCTCTTCTGCCCGCCCTTTCCTCTGAGATTAAAAAATTTTTAAAACTTGTAAAACCAAATTAAATTAGTAATGAAAGACTAATAAAATGATATATTGTAAGACACATAGTAATTGAAATAAGAAATATACAAGTAATCAGGTATTAATTCATCAAAGGCTCATCTATGTACAAGTCAAGTATTTTCAATTATTTTCCTAGGCAAAAAAAGAAAATAAAGAAAAGTTGTAGTTACATTTTGTTATGATATACTTGGAAATTTTTTATTCATCTTCAGAGATTATGATTCATTTTGTAATATTTCTCATTATTTTAGGAAGCGGTGGTTGCCACATATTCAGCACTGACTCACAAGACCTTCCAACCAGTCCTAGAGCCTGTTGCTGCCTCAAGCTTAGCTCAGCGACGAAGCATGAAAAAGAAGACTTCAACTGGCTTGTAAGATTTTCAGTGTTCCTCTGATAAACTGGATGAAGAGAAAAGGCAAATGTGTAGCTTTTGCCTACTCTTATATCAAAGGCATTGTTTTCTGCTACATTACTTGAATATTCTGTTTAAGTCTTCTTATTTAGGGGCAGTGAAATTTAAAAATAAACATACACGGGTCCACAATACTCACAATATGTTGTTTTGAATTAGCGTCCAAGATTTATTTAAATATATATGGTATCTACAAGGTCCTAACAGCTTCTTTGAACACTAGCTTCTAAAGTTCCTTTTAAATATTACTTTTGTAGTTTTTCTGGTCTCATACAATAATGATTTGGTGACTCATTACTAATAATCAAGATGCAAATATAACAGTATAATGCAAATCAATTTCAGTATTTTTTGACATAAGATCCTGAAGGATAGGCTTTTTTTAAAAAAAGAAAAAAAAAAAAGAAAGAAAAAAAAGAAAAAGAAAAGCAAATTGAAAGTGATTTGTAGAAGCTCATTATTGTGTACAACCAAAGGGCTCTATTCACATGGTAATAACTCCACTCTGTAATCACTAGAATGTAGACATAGTAGTTTGATTCCAGTGCAAAATTTATTTATACTAATATGTGAACACCTGATATGGTTGGTGCCAAAGTTTTTACAGGAGAATTAAATCACAGATAATGTGTGCAGTCAGGCCTGTAGATTATCCATAAGTGGCCTCATCTAGAAATAAAGGTTTCCATAAGGCTTCTGTAAAGTTCACTTCTGATGGAATTGTACTACAAAAGAAGAATTTTTAGCCTAAGGCTTCATATTGATGTTGTGACCTCCTACTAAACAATTAAGCCTTTGAAAATAAAGTACATGGTGTTTATACTACCTTGGTTTTATGTAAGCTGACTTTCAAGTGAACCAGTGAACCAGATAGGACAAACTCAAATTTTCCTGGTGAACTTTTGAGAGCAGAGATACTCTTCCCATGTCTACTTTCATCTGCCCCCCCACCCCACCCCGCTTATAATGAATTGCACTGTTATTTTTTTGGACTTCCATGTGCTTTGAATTATGGTGTATAATAGTAGTATACCTTGAATTCTATGGAATATAGTTGAAATTTTACTGTAGTGAACTTGTTGAGCTTAGCACTGATGATATAGTATAATGCATATCAGTAAACTTTAGATAATGCTACATAATAGTTATACTTCAAGAAGATAAACTGGCATTTTTAAATAGGAAGTAATATGAATGATCTGCATAAAATTTGAACACATTTTAAAATTATAAAAGATACATGGCCAAATTGGTCTGGTCTTATTAAATTTTATGATTCAAAATCACTATGTATTAATTATTGCTTTCTCTAAATGATATAATGTTAAAGAATCCTTTTGTGTTGTTGAATAAAATACTACTACTACTACTACTACTACTACTACTACTACTACTACTGATAGAAAGAACACATGAATGTAAACTGGAGAATATTATAGTTTTGTTTAGTGAATATAAGTGAACTACTTATGTATGTTAGGTGTACTGTTCGAAATTAATAGGATTTCAGTACACAGAGATCCTATTAATACAATGTTAAATCTGAACATAAAAAGGTTTCAGTTGTTTCATGAGAAATGAACTTTAACCTATTTTGTTAGACCCAGTAATAACTGAACTGATTTTTATAATTTTATTTTGCTTAGTTCAGAGAGAGAGAGTTGATTTCTAATTGCTGAAGTATATAACTTAACCAAGGAGACATAATTTTGGTATTTAATAAAAGAAACTATACATATTATCTTTACCATGTAATATATATTTCATGCACAAAGATGTTTCTTGGGTGTGACATATAAAAGTATGTATCTTTATTTTGAGGTGTCTTTTTCCAATAATTGAAAGACATTAAAGAACATCTAATGTCACATGGAAAACAGTGCTTAAAAAAAATTGGTATCATATCTTGTAGACTTTTGTGCTCCAAATTGTGTCTTTTTTTCTTTCCTTGTTTTGCTTTATTACTAGAAGCAATTGTATGTGACACTTTGTGTCCATATATTCAGACTTATTTTCCTCTTGCCATTATGTTCTTTGCGCTTGTATGCCTTCCTATCAAAAGTGATAGGACAAACTCAAATTTTCCTGGTGAACTTTTGAGAGCAGAGATACTCTTCCCATGTCTACTTTTATAGTATAAAATTAGCATAAGTGAAATTGGAAAAATGAAAAATACTAAAAAATAACTTTTAGTCTTTCCATAATCAGTCATTTAAAAAAAAGTAGATTATCTTAACTAATTTACCAATGAATTTGTACAGAAGGGTCATTCCATACAGTCTCTTTATGAAAGGAACACAATCAGAATTAAGCAGTGAACAGCATGATTCCTCATCATTCATTGAAGATTGACAATGTATAAAAGATACAGATATGCTAGTGGATTTTTCCTATAATTTTGCAAGATTTTTTTTATGGAAAATTCTAACATTGTAGCTTAACAGTAGTAGGGAGCAACCTTATAAGGGAAAGCTTCAAACTATATCCTCATTTTGTAGGAGGAACCTAGTTAGGCATGCCTAATCAATCATGTGTCCATTTGGCTATAACTCTAAAGCAACAAATGCAGATGGGAATGGAACATTTTTAATGGGGCTTCTCTAAATGCTTAAGCATTAAAATATTTTTATAAAACTTTACAGTGCTGTAGTTTCTAATGAATTCATGAACAATGATTTTGCATTGCTTTTCTTTCTAGTTGATGCTTCTTCATAGTATTTAATGATAGCACAGTTTGGGATTGTTATTGCTATCTGGAAGGGAGATAACATTTTTTCTTCAAAGGTAAAACATCAATTTTACCAAGATAGACTAACTATATAATGTCCTAAAGCACATAGTATGAATAAGCTCAGGAAACCAATTGCAAGATAATTAAAATAGTAGTGCCAGCGATGGTGCTTTTGTGGGGAAATAAAGGTTTCAGTTGTTTCATGAGAAATGAACTTTAACCTATTTTGTTAGAGTCAGTAATAACTAAACTGATTTTTATAATTTCTTGACTTTGATAAACATAGTAAAACATTTTTATAGTACCTCTGGTTAGCCCAAAGGGATTTCATATGTGTAGTCAACCCACAAACTTAAGCACAGATGCTTAGTGTTTAAAAAAGCATCATGTGGGAATACAGAAAACAAAACAAAACAAAAATTATGCTGAAATAGTACTGACTACTTATAAACTTATATTGATATATTGATTGAAGAGTATTTTCCTCACAAGAGACCCTTCATATCTGAAGAAGAACCGCTTATCTTGGCCCTAAGGTTAACTGGAAAACTGCGGCTTTGTACTAAGCAAAGTATGTCTTTGGCATTCTCTACATTTTTTTTCTCTAGCCTTCTAGCCCCTGTGAGCTATCCTATTTGATTACCTCATAGAGGACTCCATGATTAAATTATTCCTAAAAGATTTTGTGCCCCAAAATGACCTCACGCCCTTCTCCTTACTCAAATCAGAACTTCCATTACCACAGAGCAGCTATTTTCATTGAATTAATTCACATTTTTCTGTCAGTGGTTAGTGGATAATTGGCATTTTTCAAGAAAGATGTCCATTAATCAAATGAGTTTCTACTTGCTGGATTTTTAAGCAATTGAACCAGATGAGAATAATTTAAAATTCAGTTATTATCAGGGAAGATATTTTTGGGCAAGGAATTTACTCAGTATGCTGCAAGGCCAGATTATTATAATTTCTTTCCTTTTCACTTCTCAATTTACATTTTCTTTTAAAACCACCCATGCTTTCTGATAACAATGAAATTTACAATGAACTTCTGTGACAGAACTGTGTGGAGAGAAGCAGTTGTTGTCAATCCCATATTTATCTGTAGTCTTGTTTCACATAGTATGTGATCTATAATATAATGAGTCTCCTGCTGCTCCCAGGTTCCTATGCTTGTTGTATTTATAGAGAAAAATAGGGCACAGAAAGAATGAAGGCAAACTGTAAGTGGGGTCAAAATATCTGGATCCTTTGTCTAGATTTCAGTACACAGAGATCCTATTAATACAATGTTAAATCTGAACAATAATGCAATGCATATTAAGTATAGATTGGTCAATGAAACTTTTAGAATAATTTCTTACATTCATCAGCTTATTCAGATAATTTTGGCATGTATCTCAAAATGAATGATTGCTGAAATTAATAGCAGAATCCAGTATTGTGTTTTCTGCATCCCTATGCAAGGCTGCAGTGGTATTGATAGTGATTATTCACAAATACATTTTACTAATGGTTGCAATATTCCTGGGTTTAGTGAAGTCCATCATATAATTTTTAGTAAAATGATAATGATTGATCACTTAAAATTCAAGTTGGTTGCTAATAGCTAAGGTGTAGTCACTCTTAAATAATAGGTATTAGTTTCTTTGAACTATGAAGAGAAACACAAAGTAAAAGTATTTTTAGAAAACAAATAGTCAAGCTTGCTTAGTTATATTGTAGTGCATGATGTATGTACCTTTTAGTTTGTTGACCAGCAAGAAATCTTTGCTAAATGCTTAGAAATGTGTGTGTGTGTGAGAGAGAGAGAGAAAGAGAGAGAGAGAGAGAGAGAGAGAGAGAGAGAGAGAGAGAGAGAGAGAGATTGTCAAATTAGGATTTGTTTTATATTCACATTTCTAAACCTTGGACAATAGGGTGTTTTGCTTTCATTATAATTATCTAATTATGTAAATTAATCTACTCTTCAAAAGGTATTTATTAAGCATACTAGAGGCTCAATGCATGAAAATCCATGCACTGGAGGTGGGGGGATCCCTCAGCCTGGCCTTTCCCCTCTCACAGTCCAGGAGCCCTCAGGAGTGGGAGGCGACCTGGCATTCAGGATAAGGTGACACCCCATCACACCTCTGCTAGCAGCACAAGCCTCTGCTGGCCATGGTTACCTGAGCCATGTGCGGACCCTGGGTGGCTGAGGACCTCAGGGGACTGGTGGACTCTGGAGGCAGGCA